TCCTGGAGCCCCTTGAGGGACTGGAAGGGGCTCCAAGGTCTCCCTGGAGCCTTCTCTTTTCCCCGCTGAACCCCCCAACTCTCTCAGCCCCCCCTCCCAGCAGAGGGGCTCCAGCCCTCCCAGCATCTCCATGGCCTCCTCTGGCCCTGCTCTAAGAGGCCCACATCCTTCCTAATCTGAGACAGCACAGCAACAGGGATTAAGGGAAACGGGACACACCGTGCTCGTGGGGAAGAGAACAACAGCCCTAGAGGAGTCACAACCGGGGCACGTGGCCAGTGGGGAAACATGAGTAACAGCTGATGTGTTCAGCGAGGTCAGGTGCTGGCAAAGGGGTTGAGGGACCATTTCTCAACTCCCCAACCTGCCCCTGATGGCTCTTTCTGGAGCCAACGTCTGAAGCATGGAGATTAACGGCGCGAGGTCCAAGCCCCACCCTGGAGCTGATGGAGCTGGTGTCCAGCCGGCATTAGGTAAGCGTGGGAGGAATGTGGCTTCCCCTCTGCTCCCCCCAAGGAGAAAACCACGTCCATCACACCCCCAGGAGCCATCAGAGGGGACAGGAGCCACACACCGACTCATGACAGGGTGTGCATGGTCTGGGTCGGGGCTGGTGGGCTCCAAAAAGGGTCAACTCCAGTCAAAGAGCCTGGTTTCCTACTGACTCACATCTCGAGGGTCTTCAGCGCGGCTTCTCTGGCATCTAACAGGGTAATGCACGGTCCTGGGAGCAGTGGGATCTTTCCCTCCTCTACTTGCCTGGTTTTATGAACTCTGGAGAACCTCATCGTCTTCCACCCCTCAGAGGTTTAGCTGTAATAAGCTGAATTTGTGAAGAACAGACAGAGACTGTTGTTAGGAAGAAAGGAGGAACAGAGAGATCCGTTGCATCCACTTTGTTTAGGGAACGAGGCTAAAACCAACAAAACATTTTCCAAAGTGTTTCTTTCAGTATTTTCCAAATAAAAGTGTCCCAACTTCTCATTTAAGATGACTCTTCCACTTAGAAAAGGGTCAGACAACCCCTCAGTGACTGACATGCAACATGAAGAGAAAATAAAGCAGGAAAGGGGAGAAAAGGTGCATTAAACACTTGTATTTAATTGCAAAAAGTAAAAACTTTTTTTTTTTATTCATCTTACATACAAATCTCACTTATTTACACACTTTACAGGCTTTTTCCAAGTATTTACAAAGTTTGCAATATATTAAATTATGACCATCCATAAAATTCTGCATTAAGTGCATATTTACATTCTTTTTTTTTTTAATCCACCACTGAATTTATAGTGTTCAGCATTGAAACAGTCTTTATGCATATATAGCTTCACCTCCCAGCGCCCCTGAGCCTTTATAACGCGCCTCCCCTCCCCGTAGACAAAGAGATAATGTGAAAAATAAATCACCTGTCAGTTGTTTTGACTCTCCAAAGCAAAGGGGAAGTCCAGCATCTCCCTTGTTTAAACTCAGCAGGACAGTAAATCTATCCTTTACAAGGAGGAGTTTCCTGAAGAGGAGAATATTGAGTTCTACATAGAAAAAATTTACCAAGAGGAGAAAGTTTGGGTCACAGGAAACGAAAGCTCTTTGTGCCCCCCCACGGAAATGGCCTCACCCCCAAAAGTGCTTGGTTCCCTCGGGGCTGAACATGGACCATGGGGACTGGGATTGGGCTGATGCTGCCCAATTCCCTCCCCGGAGCAGCATCACTGGTGGGAAGGAAGGGGTTTAGAGGCAGGAGGATCACACTTTAATGAGATCAAGCTCGTATTTTTAATTACAAGATGCTCTCCTGCTCCCCACCTCCCTTCACCCAGAGGGTTCCCATGCTGAAGGGCTCGCTGCTAGAAAGCCGGGGAGGGCAGCCACCAGAGAAGGGAGGTGCTTTCATCCAGCCCAGTAAAAACCAGCTCCTCTGCCAGACCATTACAGCAAGAGGACGAGCGGGAGAAGCTAAAGGCCCAAATTCCCAAGAAACCCAACCCTAGAAAGCTCTCCAAGGGTTTTGCCAAAAGGGAGTTTGAGGCTGGGATCTGCAGAGGCGCCTTGGGGGAATTGGTGGGTGCAGTGGCAGTGGGGAGGGAGGGGAAAAAAAGCACAGAAAGAAAAAAAGAAAGGAAAAAAGAAAAAAAAAAAGAAGAATCAATAGCAACTGGCAGCATGGCTCCCACAGGGGATGCTGATTTCCTGGCACTGAAGTACATCACAGTACTCCTTCCTCCTCCTTTACGGTTACCCTGAGTTCAGGACTGACTGAAAGCAACGGGCAATGACCCTGTTTTTGGAAACCAGCTTTAAACCACGATCCTCCTGCCCAGCTGATGGGCAGGAGCCCATCGTGCCAGCCCGAGAAGGAGAGAAACGACCCCTCTCTGCACCTCTTTGGGGTAGCACCGATTTCTGCGCCTCGCTGGTGCCATTTCAGAGCAGCTTTGCAGCCTCGGGGACACGGGGCGAGCAGGAGCCCATGTCAAGGACAGAGCTCTGAAGCATCATAGTTTTTTAAAGAGCTGGGACACACGTAGTGACCAGGGACCCTCTGAGCTGGGCAGGGTGGGGAGTGGGGGATTGTCCAAACCAGCTTGGATACGCACAAGCGCCAAAGCGAAGCTGGAGGTGAGGGAGACCACGATGGGACACACACCCTCTGTGACTCATCCGATCCCGTCCGCCCCTCCATGCATCCATAGCTGAGAAAAAAAGCCACATTCCCTCCCCGTCCAGCCTCAGCAGATCACCAGGAGCTGCCAGGATCTCTAGGGAAACCGCAGCCTCCTTAGAGCCATAGCAAAAGTTCTCTGAAGCCAGAGTCCTGGATGAGGAAGATGATGCTTGCATCCATTTGCCCAAGGTGTCAACACCTCCTTTTGGCCATCCTAATTTTGCCACTTTGGCCTCACCTCTGAGTTTTCCACCCCGAGTTGTGGTGTGGAAGGCGTTAGCACTACTTCTCTGGCAGCTGAAGACAGGAGCTGCTCTAGAAGCCGTTCTACAGAGAAGGCCAGGGCCAAAACCGGCTCTTTATCAGCAGGAGAATTGCCCTCCTGTTTCAGTTTAGCAGCTAATTCCTTACAGCTTTTGGAAGAGGAAGAGAAAATATACTGGAAGTTTAAAAACAAATGATGTAAACTCCAAAGGGAGCAAGGTTGGGACATATGCAATGTATCGCCCTAGACACAGAGCTGGAAACTTATGCAGAGACCATAAAGTGCACTTGGAAAGCTTGATCTGCAACCAGGCCAGATCCACCGTCTTCTGTCCAACCAGCTGCAAACTCTTTGCGGAGGGGAGAAGCCATACGTGAGAGCACTTCTGCTAAATAGGGACAAACCTGCCCTAGAACCGCCCCTTTCCCCCCAAAAAAACTAACCAGCAACTGTAAATAGATTAATTTTTTCCGATTCTTCCCAGCCAGCCACAATGGCTTGAGTGGGACCCACAAAAAAAAGGCATTTCGCAGACACTTGAGAATTGTCCCCGCGGCTCTTTGACAAGTTACATTCAAGGGCACTTAGAGGTAACGGCATCACAGAACCTCCCTCTGCAGCTCCAACCAACCACTCTGCAGGAACAGACCAGGTACAAACCCAGCACGAGGTGAAATAACCTTCTCAGCCTTTGACTCGGACTTGAGAAGCTGCCAAAGCATAAATAGCAACAGTCACTAACGAGGCCCTAATTCTGCCATCACCAAACGCTCGAATTTCCATGAACTAAGACCCAGGCTGTAAGAGGAGGGAGAGGGGTGGTGTGTGTGTGTGTGTTTTGGCATGTACAAGATTGCATGTAGTGTCACAAGTGTAAAACACCCCCCCAAGCACTAGCAATACTAACAGAAGTCTTATTAATCCAATTCCCTTTAGTATTTTGCTACAAATTAAATTAGTCCTTTTCTCTCCTGAGAGAGTCAGACTCTCCCCCTTTGGTTCTACTGGATCTGGTCTATGTGGGTCCAGTGCCCAGGGCCATGCAGATGGGCTGACACTGGTCCTGGGGTTTTTTTATTCATTTGCAGGAGGAAAACCAAGGGTTATGCATAGAAATGTTCGTAGCGTCAAGGCCTCAGACTAAATTCTTTGGAGCAGGACCCGTCCTCTGCCTTCTCCTTGTACAGGAGCCAGACGTGGTCGTCCCACTTGGCAGCTTTTGTCAGACCCCAAGAAGATTAATACCATGTTTGCTCCCATTCTCCTGCTCAACACCAAAGGCTGGACAGACATTTTTCCAATCTGTCATTTCACGCGTACCTCAAATATTTACAGAGGAAAAAGGTTCTCACTCATGAGAACAAGAGTTAACTTCGCTTTCAAACAAAAACCCCTCCCAATTCCATATTAACAAGTGTGAGACTATGTCCTGAACCGCAGCCCTGGCCCATGAGTTCAGCCCAACACATCTGTAAATGATCGTCAACAGCAGGATCAGACCCAAAGGATCAGACTTGGAAGGGAGCGCGGCATCCGCAGCCTGCAAACACTGAACCCGAGCCTCTCTCAGGGCACTGGAGAAAGCAGTGCTCA